AAATTTGGGGCATCTAGTCACTGTGATTTTATATGGTATCAATTTGGGGCATCTAGTCACTGTGATTTTATATGGTATCAGATAAGGTCAAAAGTATCGTTACGTATCAGCCCGTATCGACTGATACGTATCGTTTCGGGACCCTTCCGATGCATTCCTATAGTAGGTGTATCGGGGTCTGACTGGTTCAAGGGATGGAAGGGTCTTAGATCGGCTCCCCTGAATTAATTTTGAAAAAACAAGTAAAAAAAACAAGTATCGAAATGCCTGATACGCCTCTACTAACATATCGGACATATCAATACTTTGAACCTTGGTATCAGAGCCCACGATGGTCTCTCATATGCTACAATGTCAACTAGCAGCAACATGTCTTCAACCTCAGCATTAAATGTACAACCTCAATTCCTTGGAATTTCAAATTTGAATCTGAGGCATCTAGTCACTATCAAGCTAGACAAAAGCAACTATCTTGTGTGGCATTCTCAAGTTTTCCACTCTCAAAGGAAGCGGGTTACTTAGGTTCGTTAATGGAACAAACCCATGCCCACAAATGTACACAACAACAACCTCTCAAGGTTCATTATACATTGCTTGGGAACAACAGGATGCCTTTCTCTTCAGTAGGGGTGGGTACGAGCTGGGCCGAGCTGAATATTTGATTAGTCGAGTTCAGCTCGACAATAAAACATTAAGCTTGAATTCGGGCTCAAGCTCGATTAGAACTAGAAATATCAATTGAATTCGACTCGAAAAAAAAAAAACATTTATATTCGAGCTCGGTTTGGCTTGAGCTTGAAATAAACTGAGCCTACTCGAGCTCGAATTCAAACTCGAATCCAAACCTATCCGAGCTTGACTTTGAGCCTACCTGAGCTCGAATTCGAGCTCAAATCTGAATGAATGTTATTATTCATGTAGAAAATCAGAATTATCCTCATTTCTAATTAAAAAATGACCTGTAGAAAATCAGAATGAATGTTATTATTCTTCAACTAAAAATTACAGATTTTAAATACCTTTTTTAATGGCGTGGATGCAACTTGCAAGATGAACCAAAATCACAAAGTCCCTGTAGAAGCCATAAGAAAATCCGAAATAAGAAAAAGAAGAAGAAGAAGAAGACCTGGAGTTGTAGAGTCACAGACAGTAGGTAATCAGTCCTCTTCGGCGGCAGCGTCTTCACTTGTTGCACACTTGCATTTTCTCTCTACTCGTCTCTCACAGTTGCAGACTTGAAGTTTTGTGTTCGGCAGTTCAAGTCTCCAAGATTCAATTGAGGGTTTTTTCTTTCCCTCCCATCCCAGGCATTAGATAAAGTAAGAAAATATAAAATACAATAGGGACCACAATAGTGTGTACACCAATAAATTTAAATACAAATTATATAATTATATATGAATATTATATATAAATATAAAAATTATATATATATATATATACAGGGTTCGAATAGGCTCGCGAGCCTAACGAACCAAATTGCATAATATTTGAGCTCGGCTCGATTAGTAAATGAGCTCGATATTCCAACTTGAATTCGGTTTGAAGCTCAGTCTGAACCAAGCCGAGTCAAGTTTTTCACGAACTGAACTTGAATAGCTCATAAAAAACTCGATTCGCATCCACCCCTACTCTTTAGTTGGTTACTATCTACAGTAACCGAAGGAGTCCTCGGTCAAGTAGTTGGATGTACATCTTCAACAACTCTCTGGAAGACATTGGAGCGTCTTTTTGCCTCAAAATCACGAGTTCGGGTAATGCAACTCAACATGGAATTGCAAAATCTCGAAAAAGGTACAATGACTATGCATGGTTATCTCAACAAAGCCAAAAGTTTAGTTGATAGTCTTGTTGTTATAGGCTGACCTACTTCTGATGCATGATTTATGCCTAAGAATTCTTTTGGGCTTGGGCCTAGATTATGAAATCTTTATTACATCCGTATGCACCGGTTCATATGAGTTAGACTTTGAAGACCTTCAAACCATGCTTCTCAATCATGAAATGAGACTTCAATAAATCAGATCAGGGCTTGAAACCATGAACTTTAATGCCAACATGGCTGTCAAGGACAAACTAGTAATCGGCCTAGATATAATATAACCAACCCAATCAAGGATCTCAGAACAATAGAGGCACACCCTACAAGGGTAGCTATCACCAACCCAAACAGGATGGTTTATCAAAGGCGATTAGGTGAATACAGGTCTTCACCTTAGCACAATAACAACAATGACCAATGCTCATATGGGCCTTGCCAAATTTGCAAATGCAAGAATCACACTGTGGTTGGTTGCTACTACTATTATGACAAGAAAACAGACGGCTCTAAAGCAGCATAGATGGCCAACTCCTCTTCTGCTTCTGGATATGACAACTTGTGATACCCAGATTCTGGAGCCATAAATCATCCAACTGAAGATCTTAATAATCTGAAACTCCACTCTGAATACGACGGTACAACTTAAGTTAAAATTAGTAATGGGGCATGTTTGCCAATTCTTCATACTTGACATTCTATATTATTTTCTATTTCACGTCCACTTGTTCTTAAAAATGTTTTACATGTTGCCACCATCACTAAGGATTTGCTTTTTGTTAAACAGTTGTGTTCTAATAATGATGTTTATTTTGAGTTCTATGCTAATTCACTCTTTATCAACTTGATCCAAGAGATGTTGGGTAGGCAGTAGCTTTTGTAGGAGAGAGGTGTTCTATAGACACGTGGCATCATTGGCTTGGTCATATGCCATGTTGTGTCTGTTAATAAGTTACCGGTTTCCTCCAATAAGTCTTTGACATTCTGCTCTTCCTGCTAGTTCGGAAAGAGCCACAAATTGCCATTTTAGACTAGGACCACTAGTGTTGATGCTCCGTTGTCTATTGTTTTTGCTCATGTCTGGGGTCCAGCCCCACTTGTTTCTTTGATTGGTTATAATCAAGGTTTTAAATTTTGTAACGTATCAGGCTGATACATATAGTTTTGAAAGAGTTTCGATACACGGAGTAACCCAAGTCACTTGCTTGCAACACTAATTAATTAACCATTATGCCAACCTTAATTAATTATTAGAACATGTTTTTTTATACATAAAGTAATCTTTCTTGCCTTGGTGGATGTTTTCCAACAAATGCTATAAATTTGATTATTAATATTTATATAATAATAGGATGGATATAAGTTAAATTTATTTATTAAAAATTAAGGAATATATTAACTTGTATACATAATAAATATCATCTAAATCTATATAATAAATGACTTCAAAAAAAATTTAACTAATAAATATTAGTATGTATACACATACATTTTAGTTCTTCTATTATTTTTCAATGGTTACTAATTATATCCCAATACTTCATATAAATCATTAAAGAATGGTTTTTTATGTTTAAATAAATTAGTTATAATCACATAAAACTCATTTTTATTATTGTTCATATTTTTTAAATTTTCTAGTGTATCCATGCGTATCTTGATTTTTAGTCCATATCTATACGTTTCCAAAGCATATCTTAATACGTCTCTTAAAATTACCTTCCCGATACACCTTGCGTTTCCAATACTTTGAACTTTGGTTATAATTAAACATTATGTAGCATTTGTGGACGGGTATAATAAATTCACGTAGATTTATCCATTATTTACCAAATCAGATGTGTTGAATGCCTTTATTTCGTTTAAACCCATGGCTAAAAAAAATGTTGGAAGGTTATCCAGATCGATGGTGGTGGTGAATTTGTGGCCATTGAAGAATTTTTAAAGCTCCATGGCATTATACATCGTACCTACTGCCCACACACTTCTGAACAAAATGGAACTGGATGGAGCGTGGTCATCATTCTATTGGGGATATGGGCCTTACACTTCTTGCTCATGGTTATATGCCCAAGATGCTTTCGAGACTGCTGTCTCTCTACAATCGTTTACCCACCCCTACTTTGGGCTACAAATCACGGTGGGAATTACTATTTCATTGCAAACCAGAACTTCTCTCTCTCAAAGTATTTGGTTGTGCATGCTATCCTTGTATAAGACCTTACAATAAACACAAATTTAACTTCGGATCTGTGCCTTGCATCTTTATGGGCTACGGCCTACGACATCATGGGTAGAAATGTTTCCACTTGGCTATTGGGTGCACATTCATCTCCTGACATGTAGTTTTTGATGAATTGACATTTCCTTTTCCTCATTAGTCAATTGTGCCTGTTCAGACAGCCACATTTGCTACCACCTCTTCTCCACTTGGGCTCCTACTACTGTCGCAATCTCTACCACCTCCACCTGAACTAGGTATGCCTACTTCAGATCATTTGCCAGCTTCCACCGCTTCTCCTTGCAATACCTCACATCCTATACCTGAGCAACCATCTGATGCATCCTCACCTAATACCTCACCCACATCTATAGCTCCCTCCTCACCTTTACCCATTCAACACATTCAACCCACAACCACCAACACCCACCCCATGATCACACGTGCCAAAAATGGCATTTTCAAACATAAGCAACTTTTTTTCAGCTACCAAGTATCCCCTTCCTGAACTTATATGTGAACCTACTAGCACTTCCAAAGCACTTGTTCATCGTCAATGGTGATTTGCAATGGAGGAGGAACATAGAGCTCTTCTACACAATGGGACGTGACAGCTCGTTCTCCAATATAGTGGGTTGTAGGTGGGTATTTCATTTAAAATGCCACCCCGATGATAACATAGCCCACTATAAAGCTAGGCTTGTGGCACAAGGTTTCACCCCACGGGTCAGATTAAGCCCATTACAATTAGACTTATTCACTCCATTGATTATATTGAGACTTTCAATCATGTTATTCATGCTTTTCTCTTGGGTTTTGGTTTTGTCTGTTGCAAGCCTGATTATTCTCTTTTTATTCAACGTCATTCATCTTCATGTACTTTCATGTTGATTTACGTCGATGATATAATACTTAATTACCGGGTCAGATTCTTCTTATATTGACAAGTTTCTTCATCAAATGGCTTTATCCTTTGCTGTCAAGGGCATGGGAGATCTTCATTACATTCTTGGTGTTGAGGCCATTCGACTTCCTACTGGTATGTTGTTAACCCAACAACGATACATAGCTAATCTACTTCACAAACTTCATCTTTAGGATGTCAAGCCTGTTGCCACCCCCATGTCATCTTCTTGCACTCTTTCTAGACAGTCTAGTGGCCCATTACCTGATCCAACTTTTCAGGTCCACGGTTGGAGCATTGCAATATCTTTCTTTTACGCGGCCTGACATTTCATTCGCGGTTAGCAAAGTCTACCAGTTTATGAATGCATCCACCTCTAATCATTGGACAACTGTAAAGCGTATACTTCACTACCTCAAATCAACCATTTACTATGGTTTATGCCTCACTTCCAACAAGTCTCTCCAGTTGCATGCCTTTAGTGATGCTGATTGGACCGGTTGCCTTGATGATCGAAAGTCTCAAGGTGGGTACTATGTGTTTCTAGGCGATAATCTCATTTCTTGGTCTTTGAAGAAGCAACCAACTGTTTCTACATCCAACACTGAGGCTGAATATAGGAGTATTGCTTGCACCACATCTGAAGTTCTCTGGCTTCAATCTTTATTGCATGAACTTGGATCTTTCTCGTCCTGCATCCCCATTCTATGGTCTGACAATATTGGTGCCACTTACCTAAGCATCAACCTAGTTTTTCATGCACGATCCAAACATATCGAGCTTGATGTGCACTTTGTTCGGGGTCAAGTTTCCAAGCATCACATCTCCATCCGTTTTCTCTCCTCCCATGATCAACTTGCTGATAGCCGCGGTTTTCGTGGATCACTAGCAAGCTGAACGTTGCCTCCGCCCGTCCAGCTTGAGGGGGGTATTAGGACACATCACACTTTGCACATTGTATGGGCTCTCGTATTTGGGTCTCTTTAGAATATCTCTCTATTCTTATCTTCTAATCATTATCTCTTAGTTGTACTTACAAGAGTTGTAATACTTTCAAACTCTAATATATATAAAAAGAGATCCTCACACTCGGTTAATGGTGTGGAGGAAATCCCAAAATCTGGTTTGTGATTTTACACCTTTCCCTTCAAACCAGACATAGCCTAAATGTTCAGCAATAGGAGCTAAGAATGAATGCACCAAAACATGTTTAATTGAAGTTTTCGTTTTCTAGATTTCTAGTCTCTAGATATGCCTGAGGTGTTCTATTGTAGCTTCACAGGTTGCAAATGAATCGCCAAGAGGAACAGTTTTAGCTTTGAAGGTAGAGGAAGTTGTCACAGCCCCAACTGCTTTCCAATGAAATGTGAACACACCAGTTTTCGAAATAAATTCAAGGCATCACAATGGCTGATGATGTGCTCACCATTCATTGGGGGTCGCATCAGAAGCAAGATTGCAGCAGACTTTTACTCCCATGTAAATATGTAATGGCCATGGAACTCTTCTTTCACAGCTAACATTCTCTCATGTTCAGACCTTCGATTAATGTTGGGCCTCATAACCAAATCTGACTAGCATTAGTTGGGTTGTATGTTTGTATCCAAGCCCAATGATGTTAGTGTATCTGATCACAATGATAAACTCACATGGTCTCGTCATGTGCATGGAAGGCCATCAATAGCATGTGTAAGAAGAAGTGATTTATGGCTCTCTGAAGGGATTATAAGGTATAGGAATAGACCGAAAAAGGATATGGGTAAAAATATTAAGAAATGATTTAAACATCAATAACTTAACAATAGATGTTAACATTAAACAGAATAGAGCAACAACATGATTCGTGCATGTAATTGATCCTATATAGTTAGGATAAGGCTTGGATGATGATGATAATAACCTTAACAATAGATATATAGCTTTAAATAGAACGAAAAAGGCTTCCATTATTATAGCTGATCCATATAGTTGGGATATAAAAGGCTTCCATTATTATGATCATCACAATAATAGTTCCAAATTATTGTATTTCGTTTCTTTCTTTTTAACTTATAAGTTGTAGCTATAGTCCCACCAGATTAATTAATTCATCTGAAGTTGTGCTTTGTGATTTGGAAATTAGAACCCTAGGTTTTCTTTTGTAAAATTTTTAACTTTTCACACCTGTAGTTGGTTTAGGTTGATCCAAAATCATTGGACCAGGAGTCAGGGACCCATTAAAAAGTTGTTTATCTAGCATTTTTTTTTTAACTTACTTTAATTTCAGACAAGTGAGCAGTGCATTTTTTTGAATTAAAATCAGTCTCAGCCTAGGCCCACTGGGCCAAACAATCAAGACCGGGATCTGGCCCATTTAATTTATGGGACTTTTGATTAGGTATTCGCAAACTCATAACCCATAAGATGCACACCAAGTCGAAGCTACAATAAAATGAGTTAGAGCTGCATTGTCTCGGCATATAGGATTATGCTTTTGGTTTCGAAACCATTTTGATAATAAGATTAAGGAAAGACAACAAATTGAACAGTCAGATCTGCTGCTCCTCACTCTGTGTATAACAGGCTACATAATCAATCACAAATGAAAATACATCAATGTTGTTTTGCATTTAAACACTCATAGAATCTTTGAAGGGAGGAGCTCATACATCCAAATAACCAAATCTGTCATTAATTGGGAGCAATTTTGGCCTCAGAGCACTACAATATTGAGTCACACTATCACTGGGAACAAGAGAAGAACTAGGAAGGGTATTAATGACTGAAAATAGCATTTTTTTCTAATCCTCGTATTTGATGTGTCAGTGGATTCAAAAACCAATATGTATCGTATTATACACTGATATGCTTGGATACTTTGAACCAGATTCACCATTGATCGACCACTTTATGCCCACCAAAATTCCTATTTTTTCCCTCTGATATTCTGTTTCTCTTATTTTCTACCAAATCAAATATAGCCTTGAAGTTCTAATCAAGGTTTTTAAAATTGGAGCGGACAGGGAACTGTTATGGGACCAGTTCCTTGGTCAAACGGTTCAACTGTCTGGTTTGCACAGATAACCCATTTTAACTTAAAAAATAAAGAGATAATAGTATATAAGGGCAACTTTTGGGCCCCAATATCAGTAAAAATAATATTTAAAAAAAAATTCAAAAATAGGTTAACTATTGAAAAATAATATCAATTAAGGACAAAGACACTATTCATCTTCTTCCTCATGCAATCTATTCACAAGCGTCGCCACCCACCGCCACCTTCGGCAACGCCTCCGCCTATTCACCAGTGGGCGGAGGCAGAGGCGGCAGCGGCGGTGCTGGTGGTCATTCCTCTGCCCAACACCGCCACTTCCGCCCACTAGTGCCGCCGCTGCCCACTTCTAGCAACATTGCTGGAGGTAGAGGCGAAGGTGGGCAGAGATAGGCGGAGGCATTGCCAGAGGCGGCGGGGGGCAGCAGCGCTGGTGAATAGATTGCAAGAGAAAGAAGATAAACAATGTTTTGCCCTTAATTGATATAACTTTTAAAAAGTTAACCTATTTTTGAAATTTTTTTAAAAATATTACTTTTACTAATATTAAGGTCCAAAGGTTGCCCTTATATACTATTATCCCAAAAATAAAAAAATAAATAAAAAACAGTCAAATCCATTGTCCAAATTGACAGTTTGATGGTTTGACCAACTGGGTCAATGGATCGTTGACCAAATCGACGATTTTTGGCCAAAAAGCAGTTTTTGGGTGAAATGAAATCAATTAGCTGACTGATTCCCAATTTTTCCAATCCGACTGCCTGATCCAGTCTGGTTTTCAAAACCATGAATTCTAACATAAAACTGAAATTAAGAGACATCCGAAGTTATATATATAAAAAGAAATATACACCTAGAAGAGGTGGGGCTTAAGTCTTATTCCTGTCCTTTTCTGTATAAATACAATAAAAATATTTTATCTAAATTAAAAATATCATCATCGAACTAGGGTTTGAAATAACCAAAACTTCTCAAAGCTTACGTGCAGAAAAGGGATCAAAGGAGTGCCGAACACAAAGGGATGAGGTTAAGGTGACTGTATGAATTGGAAATAGCAGCAGCATTTTATTTTGTTTTCTTTTCTTTTCCGACACATGATCACAGAAACTGGTGGACAAATATTGCCGAGGCGGATTTCAAAACATGACTTTTTGATATGGTGCCAAGGAAGTAAGGATGGGCTCATATTCTAACTGGGTTTTTTCCGTCAACCCATATGTTGAACAATTGGATGCAGGAGATATTAGAGAGATCTAATGGAGTATCATTGATCTAGTTTTGTCAAGAGACTCAAGACATGTATAAGGTGTGCATCTGTAGAGTCACGGTTTGCTCCTCCAGAAATGCCCTTCGATATATCTAAAGCTCAATACATGCATCCAGTAGAAGCGACAAGCAAATCAGTAGGAAAAAGGGTGTCACCTAAATGCCGTCGGATTCGAGATGTACTGCAGGTGTGCCAAACTGAGGTGTACTGAACCGCAGTGTGACGGACCGAATACATAGCAGATAATCCTATTAATTGAACGAAACCGAGGTGAAAGGACGAGGCCGTGGATTGAAAGGGTATACAAACAAGAAATAATCAGAGGCTTGGGGATGAGGTCCCTATGAAGGCACTTTGATGCTCAAATCAGTAATATGGGTGATAGAGTCGGTTGGGTCGAGTCAAGGAGAACAGTAAATGACCACAAAAGCTATAGAGAGTTCAGAAAGTTTCAACCCCTTTACCTTGAGGAGAGATGCCTTTAAATAATTGAGTGTCCAAGTTGTACCTGGACATGCTCCTTATGTGGTCATTGGGATAGGCCGCCCATTGAGGTATTCAAGGAGCTTCGCCTTCTCCAGTGAGGGTGTTTATCTTTGGGAGACAACGCTTATTCTTGTTTGTGTGGGACTCCGTTTCTATCTGAGATCTTCGATAACATAGTGATCCACACTCATAGGTGAGCAGTGCGCTGACGTGGTCCGAGGACATCGACCACGGAGGTGCTCAATTGGTAACTTCGACTAGCTAGGGCACTGTCCGAAAACCCCTTATCCATGAACGTGAGGTGCCTCTCTATTGTCTGCCTTTAATACAATTGTTGTTTCTACTTGAAATGTTTTGGGTTGATCAACATAAATTGGAATATGACTATTATTTTATTCCATTTCTAATGGAAACAAATATACCTTAAAAATGCATCCGTGGGAAGCTTTTATAGGTCAGATTACTTCTTGTTCTAGGGAAGGGGTGTTCATAGTCCAGTTTAGTTTGGCTTGGAAAAGATCCCAGACCAAACTAGTAAATTACGGTTTGAGAAGTTTTCAAACCTAATCAAACCATTTTAATATAGAAACCAAATCAGACCAAACCATTCTATTACAAATTGATCTGGTTTCTAGTTTGGTTTGGGCCATTTTATTGGGCTTAACCCAATTAAAAAGTTCAAATAACATGCATACCTACATAAATAACAAATATAATTCAAAAATTGAATTGAATGTTAACATTTGCCACCTATTACTATTATATAAATTACATTCACACTTGTTGTTTACCACCGTTTAATTTGGTTTCTGAAATTTAAAAAAGCTAAACCAAATTAGAAAATTATAATCTAAGAAAGTTTCAAACCGAACTAAACTATTTTAAAAACCACGCCAGACCAAACTGCCCATTTTGGTTTGGCCCCATGAGGTTTGGAAGTTGGGGCCATATAATGAATACCTCTATTGTAAGGTGTGAAGTCTAACCATTCTGCAGAAGTGATGTATTGAAATGTGACAACACATCGTATCTCTCACCAATTTGTATTGATCAACCAAAAATGATAAAGAGGTTTAATTAGTTGAATTTGATGCGGATGATGCTCAATCCAAA